CCCTTCTGAGATCCTTGCTGGAGATTTAACTGCTCATACTGAAGTAAGTATGTGTCCAATAGGGCCAAGCTTCGGGACACAGACCTGCTGCCCTGGGATCCTGGCATCCCTCCTGACCCTTCCCAACTGATAATAATGTATATTCCCTGGTTGCTTAATGAGGTATTATCAGCCATTCCATAGTCACTGGTAGGAATGAGGAGTTCCTCTGAGTAAATTACCATGCGGACCCTAAGGTCATGTGCTTGAAAACAGGGCTGTTGAGATTTCACATGAAAAGCTTTAACCTTTTCACAGCCACAGTGCTCTTCACATTACACCAAGAGTGTGTCAGGCTATAGCAGGTACATGAAGTGCCAGCAGTTGACTGTCTTCTGATTAGTAGAAACTGATCTATGAAAGCTGTGGATTGGGCATCATTCATAATTCTTAATCAAAAGCTTGGAGAAATTTGTTACAAGGGGGTGTTCTGTTCACCAGCAGACAACGTTCTGCCCAGTCCCTATTTCACTTAAATGAATAACATTGAGAAAAGTGCCTGGAAATCTTTTTCTCCAGTGCCAACCTTTGCCATGAAACCCCCTCAAAAGCTGATTTTGGATGGTACCATCATCCGCCATCACCTACATGAGACCGCTGTGAGGATGGATAGGAATGACACACACCTGATAGGACTGACACAATCCAGAGAGGTGGGACTATCTGGGAATGAATGGCTTTGCAGGTCAGTATTCAAACAGCTGAGAAGAGAGAGGTCATTATATCACTCATCATAACTATGGCTAAGAAGCACCCACTCCTCCAAAACTTGACAAATTATGACTGACTCCTCCATGAGACCTGTCCTGGGGATCCTGATGCCAGCTAAAAGTGTCGAGTCCAATGAGAAAAGCAGTATATAAAGATACACCTGTTTACTATACAATAGCAATCCAGTCTCCAAAGACCATCACAAATGTACTCTGATAATTCCAAAATTTCAAACCATTTAACCACACAACTAATGGGAGTTTCTACAAAAACACAATAGTGAAGAATAAATCCAGTAACCCAACATGCCAGTGACTTAGTTTTGCTGCACCTGTATATTGATTACAATAGCCATGACCAGCAGAAACCTCCCTTGCATCTGCAGCCCATAGCAAACTAAAAGGTGCCTCTGACTTCTGTACCCATTACCTCTTTCTTTCCACAAGCACCCAAACCAACCCTGCTGTCCCCACATTTGTCCACTGCACCACCCATTCTTATGCCCACAACGATGGAAACAGAACATATTGCCCCAAACAACTTTGGTTTGGTAACAGTTCCTTCGCTTGACGAGAGCACTAGGTGCTCCTCACACAAGTCCAACCACATTAAGTTCCTTTTTGGGGCTGAAAATCCCTGCTATTCCTCATTTATTCACATTTTTCCCATTCCACCTCATCCCTGGATGTTTTAGTCTCTGGGGTCATTTTCCTGGAAGGTAAGTGCTGAAGCATGGTGGCAGTGCAGTAGGAGGTATTTTGCCCCATCACTTACAGTGGCAGATAATGGATTTTCATCTCCAGCCCATAAGGGAGATTTACAATGAATGCTTGGTTACAAACGTATTCTTCTTGTTTGGTTTCCATTGAGAAAAACATAACCACGCACAAAAAGATGATGCTTACCAATTAGATGTTCTATGTTGTTTTTCTTGGGTGTCTCTTCTGTGGGATCCATCTCATTCCAGGGAAGATCTGATCCCCACACAGACAGGACAGCAGCATACCTCAACACAGCACAGCACCCATGCGATGCACCAAAGAGGGAAGCACAGGGAGAGAAGGAGGAATCCCCACCTGTATCAGAGTCCTCTGGGAGTTAGTTACCCTGGTGAGGAGGACATGTTTACAAAAACAAAGACTTGTGGATCACCGTTGCCTCTGATGTAATTCCGTGCTCTTCTGTGGCAGGCTTTTGGCTGGGGAAATACATGGCTCAGCTGATTTTAAACCATGCAGTATCCAAACTAGAAATTATTTCAGTGAATCACAGAAATATTTATCAACGCAGATTTAATAATAAAAAAAAGACAAAACTGTAAGAGAAGAAACCTAGTGTGTATGAATTGGGTACTGCTCTTCTGCTGCTCACTTTTTAGTATGAAAAGTGCCCATGCTGTATGGAATTTATCTTCAGACATTTCTTGACACTTTACATCGCAGTAGGTAGAACCCCCTTGTGCCGGATAACTAAAAAACTCCAGCAGGAACGCTTCAGCTCCAAAGGCTTTTAACATTATTTTTCTGCAAATATGTTTTCTTTCATTTCTAAAACTTCCCCTTCAATACAGGTATCAAACAAAGTATAACGGAGACAAGCAGAAATGGTTTCAAACTAAAAGAGGGAAGATTTAGACTGGACATAGTGAGTTTCTACAATAAGAGTGGTGAGGCACTAGCAAGGTTGCCCTGATAGGTGGTGGATGCCCCATCCCTTCAGATACCCAAGGTCAGGCTGGATGGGGCTCTGAGCACCTGATGGAGCTGTAGGTGTCCCTGTTCACTGCAGTGCAGTTGGACCAGATGGCCTCTCAGGGTTCCTTCCAACTCTAACAATTCTATGATTCCATAGTAATTTTAGCAAAGCATTTTAGACTAAGACATATTGGAAGATTGCAGCAGCAGAGAGCAGCCTTCTCAAAGGACACAAAACAGTTATTTGAGAAGAAAATAAGGCATATTTTTTCATATGTAGTCTATGACTTTGACATATAGCCACATTCGTTCTGTGGTTGTTTTCTATGGGCATCCATTACCTCAAGCATCTTGGAAGCTCTGGTTCCAGCTTCATTTCATACCAGCCTTCATCTATGCCAGTAACCACATGGTTCCAGATGGGTTATTCAGCACTGATTGCTCCCCAGAGAATTCTATTCCAGCTTCACAGACTTCAACCTACCCTTGCTGAATGGATGTTTGAAGTTACAGTGGAAACTATAAGCACAGCTTGCAAAATTGTGATTCACGTGTTTATCTCACTATTCTCCAATAGTCACAATATCTATATGAAGTTATCTGTTGCACTTCCCCAGTGATTTGACCTCTTGGCTGTAAGATGAAACCTGCTCATAGAATCATACAATGGTTTGGGCTAGAAAGGACTTTAAGATCATCTAGTTCCAACGCCCTGCTATAGGCAGGGACATCTCCTACTAGACCAGGTTGCTCACAGCTCCATCCAGCCTGGCCTCGAACATCTTCAAGATGGGAGCATTCACAACATCGCTAGGCAACCTTTTGCAGTGTCTCATCACCCTCATAGTAAAGAATTTCTTCCTAATACAGGGTTAGGGTTAGTAGTCGCAGTCTACCCCCTTCCAGTTTAAAACCAATTCCTCTTGTCCTATCCCTATATGCCTTTATAAAAAGTCTTTCCCCAGCTTTTCTGTAGGCCCCCTTCAGGTACTGGAGATGATCATGACAAATGCCTACTAACAGGACAGCAGGTAAAAGAAATATGTGCTCTTAATTATTTCAGAAAGGAAAATCTAACATGCAGAACTACCCTCATATTATTATTTTGAAGTAACTGTTTTTATGGTAAATAACTTCATTATTGCAGATCATTTGAATTCTACAGCCTACATAGCTGCTCATACCATGAGACACAAGGGCACAACATTCAAATCTAACAGAAATAATTACTCCCTGCTGTTTAGTGAGAAGTCCCTAAGGTGCCTGTAAATACAACTCCTGAGGGTGACAGAAGCAGATGGTGTGTTTATTTGATGTACAGGAACATTACTGCATTACTATTTGTGTTAACTTCAGTTGCACTTTCTCTCTCTAAGTTTCAAACATTTGAAGTTAAAAGGTAGGGCAATTTTAAGTCATTTCTCCTTGGGCTATGCTGGGAATGCAGACACACAGCCACTAGCCCTCATGTTTCCACCTGTAAAACACATGAGCACTCAAGCAGCCTCCAAGCTGCAAGTTCACTAATGCTGACCAGCCTGGTACAGTAGCACAAAGCAAAACAGCTCAAGTCCAAAGCCACTTTAGCACCGCTTACTGACGTGGACACAGGTGGGTGGGTGGTGCAGCACTTCTGCAGCATGTGCTGATACAGTTAGAGCCTTTAACATCTACTCTTGGATCATCACAAAGGCTTAGGTCAGACAAAATGGTATGTGGCTTACCTGCCAGCATTCCATTCTCCAGCATTTCCCTGCACCAACCGCTATGTTTGCAAAATGTGACCAGTCCTTTACAGTCTAAGGTTTCCACTTGCTCTACTTATTCCATCATAGAGTAGATGTGACATTTGCAGGACATGAGATTTACATATAACATAAGTTCTAAGTTCCTGTTTGCTTCTTTCTGATCTTTTAAGGCCCATCTTCCCTCGCATGTACTGGGCTTTGGCCACTCTCTAAATATTTCTCAACCTATTCCTTTCCTGTTTCTGAATTCTGTCCCCCCTACCACCCAGAACAGACAATAGCCTTTTGCTCTGGGCTTCTCATTCATCTCCCTTAGGACACCGAGGAGATTACCAGTAACATCTTGCTACTTGCAGGAACATCACCATATTGCTCTTCCTCCTTTTGTGTGAAAATGGTATCAGCTTTCTAGAACAGAAGAATCACAGAATTGTAGGGGTTGGAAGGGATCTCTAGAGATCATCGAGTCCAACTCCCCCGCAAAGCGTGCTCCCTACAGAAGATGGTGAGATGACAGGAAGGTGTTGACACCACAACTTCATGAGACCATGAATAAATATAAGACAGAATCAATCAAATGGGTTCTCTGCATCTCAACCAAGAGAGGCAGACAATTGACACGAAAGTAAGAATGCTCATATCATGGTGAGTTTCATTCCAGGCCCAATCAAGCTCACATCACTCCACTGCAAGTCAGAGGAAGAAGATGACAAAACAATTACTCTTTCTCTCATATTTAGTACAACTGCAATTAGAGCACTTGAAACAGTGAAACCTGCATTTGCAAAAACTGTCCCAGTAGGTTTGCTTTGTTGTTGTGAATAAAGATTTTATTTTAAATAACGTTTCACTGCACCTGACTTTGTAGTCTCTCAGCATAGCTGAAATACAGCAGTAATCAGCAACTGAACAATCAAACCGTAATTAGTCCAGACTCAAGTCACACAGCAACAGTCCTTTCCAAAGACAATTTCAGTGTATGATCTGGCATCATTTGCCTCAGGAGCAGACTTTTCCCTGGCTCTTTAAACATGGTGCTCAAGTAAGTATGAAAGAGCTCAGGACAAACAATCCTCTTCAGAAATTCCATGGTTGGGTCACAGGAGTTGGCTTCAAGCTGCAATGCAGAACACTGACTTTATTCCTGAGGAGAAAAATTAATAAAAAACATTTTACATCAGGAGTGACTTTTTAATGAAATGAAACTTACCTTAATCCTAACCATTGAAAAGTTCCATGTACAATGTCCTATTCAACATGATTCACTAAAAAAAAGAGCCCATTATAGAGAGGAACTGTTGATAGTTTAATGCTTCTTAACCAATTTGTGTACTTGTCTAAGACTGATGACAAGCTTCTATCTGACACGACACCAGCTGCACATGGAAAACTCTTCCCTTGGTAAAGGACATTTCCCAGCAGGTAGGCCCCACTTATGAAGTACAGTGGTTCAGGAAAAAAAAAACAACCTTTCCAAACAGTGAAAATTTCACTAGTTCTCACCTGACTGAATTTGGAGAAACAAAGCTTCACGATCTTTTAGGTACCCGAGATGTTTCAAGTTCAAACAGGAAAAAACTCACCACAAACACATAATCCATAACCACTCAACACATGCTTCCAAAAACTGACACAGGAACTACTTACATATGATGAAACATTACATAAAGGCTGATGTTTGACACCTGACTTTGACTACAAGGTGAACTAAGTTAGCTTAAGCTTTTTATTTGATTGCTTGGTTGCTTAGGAAAGTAGGGCTCAAACCAGAGATCAAACTTAGCACCTCAGTAAGGTTACAGAATGATTACTGGTTTTGAACTACATGTATAGTCACATCTGCAGGATGAAAGACAACCACTTCTCGACGAGACACCTACATTTTTATTTTCTCCTTTTCCAACCGATCTACAAATGATTAAAAAATTCTCATAAAAAGAATGAGTAGTACTGAAAGATGGCTGAGATTTTTTCCACAAGTTTCCAGAGTCAACAGGTAAGGCATTAATTTCAAAAGAAGTTCAAAGCAGAGAATCGTGAAATCAACTGCTTTCACAAAATAAAAAATGTGAACGCGCAACATACTTCAAAGTGATATGTAAATGTGATTATGAAAATGCAAGACTAGCCCAATACTGACAGAGTGTCTAGGACACTATTTACATTTTCTACCTAAATGACACTTCATAGAGTACTTCTATTATCACTCTTTAGGAAACCTGTTTTATAATTCTATAGATAATTCAGCATCACAAAAACCTGCTTAAGTAGGATCAAACATTAGGAAGTGTCTTAGTAAAAACAAGTTTATTCATCTATATTTTAAGCAAATAGGTAAATAGTCAGCAAAGCCTTTTGCCATGACTGTAAACTTTTTATTTAAAAAAATTGTGTTAAAAACCAGTACATGAATTTCCATTAATGTTCTAAAAAAGTTTGTTCACATCTTGAAAGAAAATACATTAGCAACATCTCCCAGCAGAATTCATCTTTAAAAAAGTAAAACTCTAGGTGCAGAGCTTTTCTACAGTATCATATCCTCTACGTTTTAATTTAACCACAGGATTGAATATCATTCATCTCTATTGACACGACTGAGAGTTTACCTTAAATAGATGATATTCAATGATGTGTTACACATTGCCACAGGTACTAACATCATTAGAGGAGTGCACAACTCAATTTCACTAACAAAGAAAGACCTTTCTATATACTGCATCATAACCCTTCCTAACCAATACAGTTAATTTAGCCATATGCCTTTAAAATCATGTACGTTTTCCAAGGAAAAATACTAAAAATCCCATGGTCCAAATTCTGCTCCCACTTATATTCACAGGATAACTCGTAAGCACCATCACATTGTGGTTTATAGCCAACAAAATAAAACCAGTGGGCCTGTAAATATAAGGGAAAGAAGAACTTGACCCATGTCTGTAAACATTCACAAAAGCCTGCAGTCAAAAGTGCCGGATAGGCAACCTATCCGCAGTACAATTATTTCATCCACAGAGAGGTGTGGGGGCAGGGAAAATGCTATGGAACACTACTTTAGATGCAAATTAAAAGGCTTTTTACGGACTTTGGAAAGACGTATTTCCAGCTAGCTAAACCATACTCCAGTAAGACATCCACTTCTATCCAAATACATTATCATTTCCTAGTTCTCTCCTTCTGATTCTGACAGAGTACACAATTCAGCAGCAATCCCATGACAATAATTCAAAGTGTAAAAATACGCCCAAGCCCCTGTGATCTCCCCTTACCATGCTATCGATGCTAACAGGAGATCCTCAGACATAATGGTAGGTCTGAAGAACCATAAACTGATCTTGATCTATGCACGCACAGAGGTGTGCATCTAAAGACCATCTACAGCTTTAATTACCTAATTTCATTCTAGGTCTTATTCTATATTAACCACATATACCATACAAAATGTAACAGAATAGGTGCTTATACACACAATTAAGTATACTTGTTCTCCCCATTTGATTTGTTAGCCAATTGCTCTATTTACACAAACGTCTGTTTGAATGCTCCTGATCCTGTAAGAAACCAAACATTCCGATTTATAAACTACAAAAAGAGTCAAGGATGCCCAGAAACTTGCAGGATCAGACCCTGAATCAATAAAATGCAATCACAACCTAAGCTTGATGTCTGATACAATTGCCTGGAATTTTATCCTCACAGTTTCCCCTCCTTCCCCAGTTCAAACCATGCTCCCACTCAAGCAGAGCGCTCTCACTAAAGTGGAGACAGCCTTCAAAGTGAATAGGACCAGGCTCTGTCAAGCAACCACTGCAGTCTTTAAAAATGTCTGGTATTTATTGCCATCCACTCTGGGGCAGACTTGTCTGCAATGAAAATGGTGTTCCTGGTGTTGATGGATAGTTAGCAAAACCTTCAGGCTGAGCTGTATAGTTCTCCAGAGCAGAAGCAGAATGTGCCTTCAAGGAAGAGAAGAAGTTAGGAAACAGCACAGATAAAAACAAACAAACAAAAACCTAAATCAAGCAAAATTTCAGCCAAAATACCAATCCCACTCAAGCCAAAACAGCAATTACTTAAAGTATCATTTGAAGTATGCAAAGAATGAGGATGAGCAATGGTGCTGTATGCATGTGTTAAACTGCAGTGCAATTATTGCTCCGAAATACCAGAGTGAGAAAGCAGCTGGATTAACAGGAAAAATGAAGAAGCATTATTGGCATTTATTTTCCCATGTTGGAAGCCACAGCTGATTTGGAAGGCATAGCTTAATCAGGAGCTGTAGCATTTCACTGACTTTCAGCCTTCTTCATCTACATAGCTTGAGTATCTAAACGTTCATTTCACTGACAGGAACTCGTAAACAAGAAAAAACATTTCTCCAAACCAACCTCTGTACGTAGATTTCCACAGAATAATTCTCTACACATTCCCCCTTACATTTCCCCTCCTATTTAAGAGGTATCTGACAGTGTTTTGCACACTAAACAGTACTAGACATATGCTCCATCTCAAAAATCCATTTGTCACAGAACAGAGAAATCAGTAACTGAAGATACTTTACTGCCTGTATTTTGGATGGAAGAACAAAAGCCCTGCCAGCATTCTTAATCTGTACATAAGCCCTTTTTAACAAAAGGCAAAATAAGCATCTCAATTATCAAATACAAACTCTGATGATAGCTTCAGTTAGCTTCTGTATGTTGATGACTACAACAAGCTGTTTCACAAATGAGAGAGATGATGAAGCTACACATTACCTAAAGCAACCTCAGGTTTATATTATAGAGAACTATCAAGATGAAGGCACAGCAACAAAGTTAATAAAATTTTCTGGAGGATGCAGAAAGGTACATAAATAAAGTAATTTTCCACATAAATCTTTAAGTATTAAAATGTCAGAGTGAATCTGAGCACAGATTTTGCAGCTACATGATCAGCTCAATAGGTTTAAAACAAATCTTATGAAAATTTTATGTGCTTGCCTTTTCCTTTATCTTTCACTCCTTATTCTGCATAGTTTTCAAAAAGGGTTTCATTACATTGCACTCTACACTAATTATCACCCAAAGCTTCAGTAAGAAATTCATCTGATTTGTTCTTTACCATTATCCTTGTAATCAGTTCTCAAACATGTTACAGGTTTACTTGTTTAAAACAATCCTAAGAAGTTAACACCCCAGTACATATTCAAGTAGTTACTGGAAGCAGAACAGTATTAACAAAGGGGCACCATACCTGTAGCAGTGCTGACTGTGCGGCCGCACTGTGCTGCAATTCCTGTAAGGAAGACTGTGCGGCACTTTGGGGAAAGCCAGGGATACCAGGGAGAGATAAAAGACCAGGAAAAACTGCATTTCCTGGTGTCTGCAGTCCAGAAGTCAAGCTGAAAGAAATCAAGATGTGGTTGTTATTAGGAACAGTCCTATCAAATGTTAACCTATCTTTCACTCTATATAAACTTGTATCTATACAAATCAGAAAAGCATCTTTTTCTAAGCTTCACAAAGACTGGAATTTGCAAACAGAAGCCTGGTCTCTACCTACCTAGAAATTATTCACACATATACAAACCAAGACCATTTGGAACACAATGTACCTAAGAGGGAACTGAGAAGATTTTATATCTTGGTTGTACCTACTCTACACACAAAAAAACTTTATAGACAAAAGTTAATGCTTAGTATTTCCTTAAAATACACAAACATCTAGGAACATTGTCTGCTGTTATCTGGATGTGTCAATGGATGCCAGCGTGGAATGCATTTGTGTAAAAGCCAGGAGGTGCCAAGTATCCTCATCTGGGAAATGAGATCACTCAGCACCTCACTGGACAGGGACTACTGAGTACAAACTATTTAGTAAATACCATTTAGTTTCCAAAGACAGTGGCAATCTACTGGTGAACTAGGTTTACAAATTAATCATTTACTAACAAATTTACTAACTAGGACTGAAAATAAGGTCTACGTATAAAGTAAAATCAGCATTTTGCTCAAGAGAAAAATAAGTGGTACTGAGCTCCTTCAGAAACAAAAACATACCCAGCCTGTGCAACAAGTGCAGAGTTGAAGTTTGAGCTAAAGGCCGAGGCAAACCCTGGCAGGACCGGAGCCGGAGATGGGGCTGTGGCAGCTGCCGGCAACGGTGCAACTGCTGCTACTGCAGAGGATGCCTGGAGGCCAGGGAAAGAAGGGAGAGCAGGAGTGACAGAGGGTGTGTTAGAGACAGGAAAACCAGGGAAGGATGGGTTTGATGATCCCAGAGGTCCCTGGGCAACAGAAAAAAGGGAAGGGACGGCACTGGACAGGTTAAGCGAGAAGGGTGGAGCAGAGACTGTTGCTGAGGCGGCGAGTCCTGAGAGTACGGCAGCTGTGGAATTCACATGAGGGGCAGACACAGCTGAAGCAGTAGTAGCTGGAGTAGCTAACAAAGACCCTGGGAGAGTGACGGGTGGTGCAAGTGCTGGATTACCAGTAAAAGCAAAGTTACTGGTTAGAGATGTGAAAGGAGGAAGTCCATTAAACACAGGGGCAATGGGAGTGGTGGAGCCATGTGGGGCGAGGGAAATGGAAGCCAGAGAATTGGGGTTGTTTAGAGGAGCACTCAAAGAGGAGAGACCCGATAGTGCTGGGTTCAGGGAGCTGGGTAAACTGACTGGCACTGACGCTGCTGAGGTGTACGCACGCCCGAGTGCTGAGAGCCCTATAGTGCCATGAGAAGGACCAGCTGAGTGAGAAGGACCTTTGAAGGCTGAGAGGGTAGGACTCATGGGTTCTGTTTTGATCAGGACTTGTGGGATACTTGTGGCAACTGGGGTTGATGAGAGTTGCTGGTCGGGATTAGTAGGGCTTGTGCCATGCAAGAGGGAGGCTGATGAGCCACAGTTGACTGGCATAACTGATGGTGAAGTGGTTAAAGGTGACTGTGCAGGCAATGTTGGAGGAGTGGAACTAGAGTTGGTCACAGATGGGGATGGAAGACCTGGAAAAATGGCCAGCCCAGGCGTGGAGGAACGCTGTGAGGTGGGGGTGGCTGATGGAGTATAACATTTGACAGAGGACGTGGGAGGGTCAGAGCTTTGATTAGCAAGAGCAGATAAAGAAGCAAGTTCACTTGTCATAGCAGAAGGTAAAGCAGATGAATTGATTAATGAAGTGTCATTTGATGTCAGAAATCCCTTTAAGACAGACAAAATAGGGTTAGGCAGGCTAAGTGAACCAGGAATGGTGGTGGCAGGAGAATTAGCAATTGTTGAGGGAACAGGACTAGAAATCCCTTGGACACTGGGTGGCAAGGACAGAGGAAGTCCAGCAAAAACTGATGACAATGGAGTGGGATTACTAGCTGAAGCAACTGAAGAGGCTGCAGAAAAAGGGAGACCAGCAAATGGTGTAGTAGCAGATGCAAAAGCTTCACTAGGTGCAGGCGTAGCACACGGTGTGGAAGAGCCTTGTGGACCTGGTGTAGCAGAGGGTATAGAAGCCAGCCCAGAGAAAACCGCAGGGATGGGAGTAGAGGTTGCACTGTGTACAGATGTGACAGGAACACCAGGTAATGAAAGGGATTTGATGACTGTAGGGGTTGGCGTGGATGGCTGAGATGTATGGATGGAGGAGGAGACCTGTCCCGGGAAAACAGGAAGGACAGGGGTAGACATGTTCATCCCAGAGATGAGTGGAGTTGCAGGTGCTAATGGATGGCTTATTGCCTTGACAGGTGATGGGGTAGGGACTGGAGTAGCAGCAGGTGTTGAAGGATTAGAACCATGAGGAGTAAAGAGCTGATTCGTTTGTGCAGAAAAAGCTGGAAAGAAACAAAACTGGTAAGAATACTTGAAACCGTCAGAAATGTTTGAAATCAACACAAACACATTTTATACAGCATTTCAAAAAATGAAACACAGGCAATAGCTAACATACAATGTCTGTATATAAACAATCCACACTGAAAACTACAAAAACAAAACAAAAAGGTACGTACAAACACATCACACAAGTTGTACATTATGTAAGTTACTACTTTTCTTCAAAACACTTTGTGACATCTACCATCTCTTCATAATCTCATGCAAGACAGTTTAGATATTCAAGTATACTCTGCAAGAATAGTTACATGATACAGGTAAACACCTGTATCTATTGGCATTGGATCACCTGGGCTCCTCTGCATTCACTCTCACTGAAGGTCAGAATTTCCTTCAGAATCAGTTAATTCAATGTATCATGATTTCAGAGAAGTTTAGTCAACATCTGAAGAAAGCTGATTTCAGGTGCTGGTATTTTTCTTTCTTTCAAAATCAGGTCATTCTCTTCACTGTGTTTCCTTCATACTTTGATTCTAAGAAGGTACACTTTTAAATTAATGTATCACACTACAGTATTAAACTAACAATGTCACTTGACCTTATCAACAAATATTGCTAGAAGTTGAAAGTCAGGCATCTATGATTGAGGCAACCACCTGACACTAGGAATATTAATTTGTATCAACCCTACAGATCAAGTCAAAGAGACAAGTCAAGCTGGAGGAAAATAAGGCAGCACACTGTCAGGGTTCGGGGCAGAAACTGCATTTTATGAAGGCTGGCACATCAAGCGCCTTGGTATCTCTACATCTAGTACCCTGTGGAATGTGAATGTAATTAATCATTCTTCTCAAAACAACCCTGGTAATTTTAATTTACTTTAAAAATGGTCAGTTCGACTGTAAGCAAACCACTGATGCAATTGGCCAAACTCGTCTCCCACAGGCCCAAAATAGGTTGGATTTCTCTCTCACCCAAATTCTATGCATAAACTAAATGGAAAAATGGAATCTTTAAAATTTTGGACCTAGCTTCATGTTATATACTCCTGTTTTATGCATCTTGAAACTCTGAAGTGAGAAAGGTTGCAAACAAGTCATTTCCTTTTATATAGCCTTTTCCAAGAATCTAAACCCAGACTGCTCTGCTCTGGATGCTGTATTTTCCTTCACCCTATTTCCAAGCTGAATACTCTCCCAACGATCACAATTTTTAATCCAGCAAAGATAATCACCAGAGAAACACAGCTGCAACAGAACTCAGAGCTGTTACTGAATTTCTCTTCCTAAGAGACTATTTGACTCCTTACAAGGTATTGATTTACCTGTATAAACTACCTCATAAAAATACATGCGCACTTAAAGGGCAAATATGCATAAAGTGATTCTTTGAAATAGCAGCCCTTCTGCTCTACCAAGCCTGAGCACAAAGAAGAAAAGACAAAATATATATATTTTTTTTCTTACAGAAGCTAAACTTATCACAATCGTGTTGTCTGTTTGGGTATTTCTTAATATGCCTGATTCAATACATAACAGATTCTCACTTTATATTTGTCAAAGCTACCAAAGTATTATCAAAAATCTTGTACTAGTAGTTTATCATGGGATTTATTATTACTATTTGTATTACTATCACCTCAATTACCAAACCTCGGTACACCAAGTACCACACATATACAGACCAACACATGCACAACTCTCTTCTGCAAAAATAACTGAAATTCAAAGCACAAGACAAAACTGCAGGTAGACGTACCTGAATTTAACAGTTAAGATACTCTAGATATGGATTTCAACAAACTAGGAACAAAGAATATGTCTATTTTGTATTCCTAGTCTCCCATTGCAACTAATATATGGAATTAGAATGTGAATGGATTTTCAAATAGAGGTCCAAGGTTTTAAAAAGTGCAAAAAATATTAATGAAGTATTTCAATACACTATACTGCAAAGCATATTTTTATTTAGCTTTTTATATGAACTCTTAAATGCATACACAGATGAAGATAAAACTCTAATGAGCTAACACAGAAGGCCAGATTTTAATGTTTCAACAACTGTAAGTGCCAAATGCCTGAAATGAATTTTTATCGGTTCTCAAGGGATTATATTTCAACTGCAATTAAATACTTCAATGCTGATGAAAATCATACTAAACAAATACATGATTTACATTTTCTGAACAATTAACAGAGTTACGATTGACATGATAAACCCCTTGCGGACCTGAATTTACCTTGATTTTGGGAAGGTTTTGCCTGGCTGGAAAGGTCTTCATTTTCTAAACAGAGAACAACAGCTGATTATTTTAAAGCAAACAGAACCCCAGCAATGAATAATCCAGTCATAACAAAGAAAGAGGAGAAAATATCTTCAACACTTTTAAACCTATTCGCGTTTTACCTGATACCCCTTGATTAGTAGTGTATGTTGAAGGAGCTGGTAAGCCTGGAGCTATGACATTAGCCATTGGAACTAAGCCAGCATTGTTGTAAGCACCTAGAAGAAGAAATGCAGTAAACGTCTTATTTGCCAGAAGAACCCATATCTGAATGACCCAGTGTCTTTCCTTAAAAAGACTATTATCAAGATTTTAAGACATCTCTTCACTAAAAAGACAAAGCCATTAATCGTTTGGGTTTTTGACATTATCTGCCTGAGTGACATACATTGTGATCCAAGTTTATGAAGAGACTCTAATTGTTTTTACAGCAGAACATAGCAGAAACTGAATTTTGATTTTTTCATCTTGAAACAGCCTGGAAAAGACAGGTTTTAACTGCTTTTGTTTCCAACTCACTTGAAGAACTTAATGGGAGGAAAAAATCAGTGTCTGCAGCCTCACTTGTTTTTTCCTATTTCTAACTTAACGGCTGGTGCAACTCCTCCTCTAACACGAAAAGCCTTAACAAACAAAAGAGTCAAACGTATCAATGATCACGACCAGCCCTCCACTGTTAGTGAGAAAATGTAGAGAATGATGTCCCATCTCTGTGCATACCAAATTCTTAATCTATCACTCTTCAATGTCTCTTTAAATGTAAAGAGATTGAAGTGGGACAGCAGATGATTTTTAAATAAAGTACTTACTCTACTGAACATGACAAAAATACCTTTTTCCCTTATTTATTCTTTAGAACTGCTCTTGGGTTAGACCAATCCAAACTGCTACTGTCGTATACATATATATATATACACATATACATATATATACCTGTGGCATACGTTTCTGATGAAGAGCACCAGAATTTAAACTACAGGAATATATATACAATCCACAATGGTCCTGAATGATTGTTTTAAGAATATACAAACTTATGCTTCACGGGAAAAGGCACCACTTAAAAAATACTCAAAAAGCAGCAATCTGAATACAAAAATCCTTTCTCATTTCATTCTTTCACATGGTTCTTCTTGCAGGACAATTCATGGTCCAAAATCAGAGAAGTAACTAACAATCACTGTGACTCAGAGAAAGAAGATACTACACCAAAACATATAAGAGGCAGAAAATAAAACATCATTCCAATCTTTCTAAACATTGTTGGAATCAGATTCAATAGTTACAGATCAACAACTGCAATCTCATCAAATGTTATTTTATACGTATAGGTATTTATCATCAGTTCCCTTATCACAAAGGTTTTTTAAAACTCTGCTGCAGTTTAACAAGACCTCAGACCTTTAAAACTACTTCATATCCTAAAATGCACTAGTATTTATGTGCAACCACAGGACAAACTTTGTGTCCCAATTTATTTCACATAGGAGTTATATAATATAAATTAGAGCTAGTTTGCAAGTTTCCTGTATGCTTTTTGGAGAGTAAGGCATTTCTAGGACACAAGTCATAACGCTACCCAGTAGTAGTGCCTACTTTTCTAGATTCTTTATAAAGACATTTGTAGACATTATGTTTGTTAGATGACTCACCCTTTAATATCCATGCTAAATAACATCACATGCTTTCTCATCAAATGCCTTAAAATGTCCCTGAAATCCCTAAAATCAGTGAAAAGCAAGCTTGCAGACCAGAGCTCTTCACAGAATGGCAAATTTAGAACAAGTTTCTGTCTGCTGCACAAAAAGATCAGAGCCCAGCCATGTAAGATCTTCAAATTCTCACTTCAAAGAAATGGCCATTTAAGAGTACTGCCAGCATAGCCTATGTCACTAATTTTTTGTGGCATTTAGGTGGATGGATTACAGTTACCAGTGAGAAGTGCTACTAATTGCCTTGCTACCACAAATGTCTTGAATCAAACGATGCAGCAGAACAAGAGGAGAGGAGCTTATAAACAAAGGTTTGATCTTGTGTGAGGCACGTGACTAGGAGTAATCAGATCAAACATAATATGGCAAGCGCAAATGCCGTTGCCCCTTCTGAGTCTGAAATCTTCATCTGAAAGTCTAAACTTTTATTTTAGGAAACAGTGTTCCACTGTGATGAGGAGGCAATAAAGTGCTTTTACTGAGGTCAACTAAGGAAGAGGTCCCTGCTATTCAGCAAATTCCTACATATTCCTATCCAGTGTATGGCTGAACCTGACCATAGTGTGACATGGCAGCAACAAGTCAACAGACTTGTCAAACCAAAGTCCAAACCTTTGTAAAAGATTAAAATGGATACACAGCCTCAATCTTACCTAACATACACAGTGTCTCCCATCAGTGAACTATACTGTTCTCAGAACAGGACACTGAAGTTTTCTCACAAAATGGATGTTGGAAAAATAAGTCAGAATATGTTTATCTTTTTAGCATCTTTGCATTCATGACAGGAAGAGGCAGAAACCAGTATCCAGAACATGCTTAGGAAGCACAAGCCAATTTCAGATCTAATTGTGGTCAGAGAAACTGACATACTGACATATTAATTAAAAGGGAAATGGATGGAACAACAGCATCAAGATAAGAACACACAGAAGCCTTACTTGGTGCGATAGTTGCATGTGGCCGACATGGTGGGATGGGGTATGGAACAGGCTTGTGTGGATTGTAGGTTGATGGAGCCTACATAAACAATAACAACAATACATAAATAAATAAATAAAAATGGAAGAACAGTGAAAGCATTACCTAATTTTTGTCAGAAAGCTAACATTCAGAACTGCTGTCATCCACAGTAAAAATATTCATGATATCAGATTTCTCTGTAATATCCATACTGACTGCATACATTTCATTCTTTCCCAAGAGAATGAAACAAACATCACTAGTACAACTTTACATTTTAATGTAATCATAGGATGGCTTGAATTGGAAGGAATCTGAAAGACCATTGAGTTCCAACTCCCCCGCCAAGGGCAGAGATACCTTCCACTGGACAAAGCTGCCCAAAGCCCCATCTAGTTTGACACTGGCACTAAACACTTCCAGGGAAGGGCTATCCACAGTTTCTCTGGGCAACCTGTTCCAGTGCCTCACCACCCTTACAGTAAAGAATATCTTCCTAATATCTAATCAAAATCTCCCATCTTTTAGTTTAAAGCCATTGCCCTCATCCTATTGCTACACTCTGATGAAGAGTCCTTCTCTAGTTTTCTTGTAAGGTCTCTTTAGGTAATGAGAAGTCCTCTTTAGGAACTAGAATACCTACTGATCACAAGTGAGAAAGAGAATTTCTTCCTGCCTTGTAGACTTCACACCCTGCAGTTTTGGACTGAATTCTCATTTTAAAGATTTAGTATATTTAAAACTAACAAATACTTATGAGGCTACATTTCACTTCAAAATAATACCACTTAGTGGGAAACATCTCACAATACAAGTGGAAATAAAACATTAGGACAGTAATTCTAGATAATATCAGGTTCATTGAAAGTTTATCACACTTCTGTTTAAAAAGTTTGAAATATAGATCAACTATGTTGCTAAGAAACAAGTATTTCCTAAATCACTTCCACAATTCACATTTCTATGATGCAAGCACTCTTTATGTTCTTGAAGGAAAACCCCAGAGACCGTCACGTAAAATTGCATATATTTGTATCTAAAAATTCCACTAGCTTACAATGGAGTACTAAAACTGCTTTTAGTTTTCTCTTCTGCTATTGTAATTTAAATTCTGCTTTGAATGAGCACACACACTGTATCCTCTAGAGAATCCTATTCCCCAAAGATATAATCTACAGCTTGATTCTGTTCACATTATTTACAAAATTTCTAGAACATACTATCTTTATTCTTCACTCCACTTTGTTTAAATTGCTGCTCTACAGTCTTCTTGAAACACAACAACATTTCACATAAAAGCTGTATGAAATCTGCAGTTGGTTAGATTTTTTTTTTAAGAAGTTTCATTTACTCATTCATTTATCAGACATACTGGTTTGGATGGGCCAAGTATACGGGCTGCTATTCCTTTTCCTTCACTAGTACATTCTTCTGTATCCTTTTTGATGGGGGTTCCCTGAAACAAATGAAAATCAACTATTAGGGATTACTTTAGAAGTAAATCTTGCTGAAGAATTTCTGGTATATTTGCTTTATGTCTGAACTACATTTGAGTTTCCAAGTATTTTAAAAGCAACACATGTTTTTGGGGAAAAAAAATGGTGTTATAAACTTGTAAAATGCTAAACAAGAGCATTCCAATAGCTGGGTATGTAACACTGGGCTTTCATAGTTCTCTACAGAAACTTCCACTCCTTAAAGTGTTCACAGGAAATACTAGAACTCCTCAAAAACCACTCTAAGGTTATCAGTAGTACTGTAGTGATCATATTAAGCCATCTTATGTACAAGTGAGGTTCCTTATACCTCTCCTGATTCTGCCAAATATTACTGTAGTTTACAATGTTCTCCATATATGAACACTTATTTTTGCAGTAATCTTTACACAAAGCAGCATAGGAAGAATATGCAAATAAAAATAAGTACAGTTCACTGCAAAAGTGAAATGGATTATATAATTAAAATCACTGCTTTTAATTCCACTCTTCCTCACATGTGTATGAATCCTAGTTTGGTTATACTATAATGGATCTTAAATCAAGAGCATCATGAAAAGCAAATGCTTACTGGAAAAATCCCATTTATACGGCTTGGTTTGCCCTTGGGATAAGGGTTGCCAGGAATCATGCCACAGGATGATATCATAGCATGAGGAGCCTTACAACCTGTTTTTGAAGCCTGCAAAATAACCAAGAGAGGTCATTATTGGCTACAAAATTCAATGCTTTAAAGAAATGCATTAATATTTAATGACATTTAGACTGCATAAATCGATCTACGGGGAACAACTCACAGCTTTGTCTCTATCTGTCAGATCTTCTTGCCAAACAACCCTTGTGAAGTTCTGCCAAAGCCCCATTTGCTTTCAGTAACTCTACTCAACTCATCTCAGCTTGTACTGAACTGAGGATTAAGCACTTGGTGTTCTCTAAAACAAACCCAGATTGTTTCCTCAAGTACTGGTTATGTTTCTCTCCCTCTTTCTCCACATTATCCCAGTGCCCAACAAAAACTTCCCTTTTCTTGCACATACACTACACAGTTCTTATCTTTCTTTGACTGCTTCTTTCATCCTCTTTTCTACCAACAGTTCCCAGCAGTCCTCAAAGGAAGTCTTGACCCCACAATGACCATAAAGACAGAAACAATACTACATTTGACAGAATGAAAGAAACAGAGTATCTTGACTACCTGTTCAAGAATTCTTCTACACCTTTTCTTCTCTGACATATTAATTCTGAACAGATCTTCAATAAGGCGGTAATTCTGAGCATCAACAATGTTGCTACAAATAGAGACATTGACAAATGATTACTGTCATTCTATACACTTATCAGAAATGATGCACTATTGAAAAACGATCAACAATTATTTAGCCAATATCCAACAGTTCATTAATAAGAACATAAAAAGTTCAGATTGTAACATTACTACTCTTACTAAAGCAAAAACCCTCGACTTAAGTACAGACTTCATACCTGTAAGCGAAACATGGTATCAAAATCAATATGGAACAATGGATAATGATGGCTAGACTTTACAGTAAAAAATAACTAAGCTGACAAAATGGATTCTGGATCACAGCATTTCATTAGAAAATTTTAATTCCCACTAGCATACAATTCCCAGCACAGCAGAAAACCTCTAGCTACTGAATTTGTCACTGCTGCTCACTAGATTGATAGATAAACAAATTTTCATTTTGTTTACTCCAGAAAAATTAAGCTGAAACTCCTGGCAACTCTACCCATGTTCTGCAGTACTAAAACTCCTCAGATACCTCCAAAAAGCACCCTTCCTTTTCCCTTGATCCTCTTTCAAAAATGAAATTAGACACACCACAGAGAACAACAAAATGTGCGCATACAGGAAGCCTAATGCCTGCTTCCACTTGCCTTGTTCAAAACCCTGACCACGACATTTTAACTGGTGTCAAGTGCTATGCTCCTGCCAAAACACTGGAAATACAGTTCAGCCACTTAAAGGACAACTAATCAAAGGAGGAAAACGTAAGAATAGACACAATCAGCAGAATGTTGAATAAAGCCATGAAAAGTACCTGAAAGACTATATTAAAATGTGAATGATCACACCAGCTGAAGTGTAGCAACAAAAGAGCCTATGAGCTCCCATTCCAAGAAGAAAAATGAGTTAATTATACCACTGAACTTCCGTTAGGTTACCCTATTTTGCTTTGGTCTGAAAGAGATCAGGAGCACTCATACTGCTTCTCACACCTCAACCCTAAAAGTAAGATCATGCCTATATAATCAGTCTTCATTGTTTTATGGATGTTTATATCATATGTTTATATATCACTCAAAATGTTCAAATTAACTCTAAGCTACAATGTTCATACGCAAGGCAGACATACTCAATGCAAATAATAACAAAACAGAACACTTCATATAAAAAAAATCCCCTAAACCAGGCAGAAGAGTTTCAATATATACAATTGTAAAAGGTAAATCTTTTACAGACATTAGATCTGTAAATAGAATGTATCAATTTGAGTGAAGCACTTAACATATTTTTACGTAATAATCAGAGGACTTTTCAAATGCAAAGGAGTAAATGCTCAGAACACGCTGGTCTCAAGCCTCTTACATTTCAGTAAACAGAAATAAGCTTAAGGCCCTCATCATTTGACCATCTGAAGACTGCTCTAAAAATACTGGCTATGGAGCAGTTTTCCAGCAGTAATGAAGCAGCACAGACAAGACTCAGGTGAACTACAAATTTGAGCACATCTTCTTTTGAAGTCACATCAATAGCAGACATGTGCTTTACCTTAACGTCTTCCTTCTAGAGATACATTAAGTTTTACATAGTCAAACATTAGTAAAAACAGCAAATACATCTTAAGGACATACAACACAAGAGATACTTACGATGCCAAGATTTCAAGAGCAATAAGTTTATCTTTACTGAATGTGAAACAGTTGAGAATATTAACCATTTTTGATGCCGGGACTGCCACTATTTTCTGACAAGCAAGGAAGAAAGAAAAGAACATATATAAAAATAATGCAACAATAAACTGAGAACTTAATAACAGCAATGTATTGTGTACGTCACTAAATGTTTAATATTCTTTTCCTCTAGTTGAGAAGGAGATTCTATGTGCATTCACACTATGAGACCATAGAAAGAGAGATGAAGAGACAATTAAAGGGCAGCTGCTAATGCACACATCACAAATTTAAAACGAGATTAAAAGAGAGAACATCTTCCTCAAGATTATTGCACAAGAACTTACATGTTGCAAAGCTTTTATTGCCTTGAGCTGTGGTTCAGCCCAGGAGAAGTATCTCAGTAACTCAACAACCTGCATCAGAAAGATCATCATTAATCTTTTGAGTATATCAAAAATAGTGCTAAGAGCATCAGTGTGTTCTTTACATTCACAGAGTAAGGTGTTATACAGCTAAATAGACAACTTTGTCTGTAATGTTTGACTGTAATGTTTGATTACCTCAGCGTCCATCAGTACCTAATGCTCTTTTTACATCCAAACAGGCTGCTAACTAATCCAGTGTTGCGAAGGGAAGACTTTCTATTAAAGTATTTAAAACACACACACATTCGTCACTATGCATTTTTATCTATGCACAATTCCCACAGTACATAGGAAGCAGAAAAGCAAACAAAAAACTGCAAATAGGACCAAAAATCACAGAATCATTTAATTTGGAAGGGACCTTTAAAGGTCATCTGGTCCAACTCCCATGCAACGAACAGGAACATCCACAGGTAGATCAAGTGTTCAGAGCCCCACCCAGCCTGATCCTGAATGTCTCCAGGGATGGTGCATCCACCACCTCTCTGGGCAACCTGTGCCAATGCCTCACCACCCTTACTGTAAAAAACTTCTTCCTTGTATCCAATCTGAATCTCCCCTCTTCTAGTTTGAAACCATTTCCCCTTGTCCTGTCACAGCAGACCCTGCTAAAGAGTCTGTCCTCTCCCTTCTTACAGCCCCCATTTAGATACTGAAAGGCTGCTCTCAGCTCTCTCCAGAGCTATCTCTTCTCCAGGCTGCACAGCCCCAGCTCTCTCAGCCTGTCCTCATTGAGAAGTTCCATGCCTTGCTTGGCAGCAGCTGTATACTAGAAACTTTAGAAAATCTATGCAAAATAATTCCAAATTCCATGATTATTTTCCCCAATTTTCCTCATGCAAGAGGAGCTAAAATGTAACGTGTTTGATAATACAAAAGAATTTAGAACTATTTTAACAGACTCATGTTGATACAGTAATGAGGAAATAAATCTCTTCAGCTTCAGTATGACTGGAGATACATTCTGTATTACTGAATAGACAAAACCAACAGCTCCCATTAAATTTGCAACTGTGTTGACGTTACCTGTTCACTAGAGAAGTATCCATGGACATATTCAATAGCTTTTAATTTGTACTCAGTCAGTACAGCCTAGAAGATGCATAAAAACAAAAAAGACACATAAGTAGTCCTCAAAAAACTATAATTACAGCACAGTCCTGTTAAACAAACCTACTAATCTAAAAAATACTACATTTGACCTTGCAAAATGACATTTACACCATTAACTGCAATATTTCTAAGTGACTGCATTCTCCTTAACTAAGGGAACAGTGAGAACCAGAGAAAGGTCATTGAAATTTTCTGTTTAAAAAACACTCCTTTTAAATTTCATTTCATACTGCTTTGGTTTAAAGCTACACTGAAAGAAAAATACTATTCATTCTCATTTTTTACATTTTTACATCAACCTTATGTTAAAGATAATACAGATCGTTATTCATACAATCTCTTTGTAGATCCCTATAAAACAATGAGCTGAGTATCTTACTTCAGTGAATTTATGGAGAGTGGGAAACAAGACTGCAACAGAATGAAGTTCATGATAAAAGTTTGCTCCAGGGGGCTTTGTTGTCTTACCATAGCCCTAAAACCTGCCCCTGTTCTTTCTTTTTTTCCCTTCTGCTTCCACACAGATGGAAATGAAGGTCTTTGTCACTGCAGTCTGCCTGCAGGAGCACAGGTGCACAGAACCCACTTGCACACTGTTCAAGGTAAACTCCCATACCTCTTTATGAGCCTGAAACTATCAGAAACGCTGAAGTCAGAGAAAAAATGCACTTCTCTCTTCATTCCTTTTTTTTTTTTCTTTCCCTTCCTTCTCTTTTCATATTTGTGGGGAAAAAAAACAACCAAACACACAAAACTAGCACGTCATACAGCATATAAAATGACAATTGATAACTTCATAATAAGAGAAAAAAATGAAAAGCATTACTCTGTTTTGCTGTACATAATTTTTTTTTTTAATTATCATAAATAAGCATGGAGAAAGATGGCACTAAAGCTGCACATTAAGACGTTTAAATACTTTGTTCCTGCTAATTGTAGGAGTGAAAGCAGAACGTATAACACAATTGACTTGTGAGTCACACAATAAAGAAGGCTCCTCCACATGAAGGTTAAACAAAGCAACAAAGATATAGCTGAAGGTTACACTGAAGCAGCACGGTTAGCATTAAGACAGCACAGCACTGATGCTTAGATGAGCAGTAAATGCAACTTACAGGAATACAGGCAGATGGCATCAGGAAATACAAACACCTGACATCCCATGCCAAAAACCCTTTTCTCTGCAGTATTTAGTAATCACAGAATGTATTCTGAAGGGCTGCAATGCAGATGTAACACTTGAGACACTGCTCCCTTCCTCCATCAATTCTCAGAAAAAGTCCTTCACGTGCAAACTGTTCCCTGATTTTATCCCCGTATTTCCCATGACAGTCCTCAGGTTAGGAGGCAAATCCATCTCCTGGAATTATTGTGTCACATCCTTAGCTGGTAATACAGCATACATATATACACGTATATGCCCAATATCCAACCTGCTTTATAAAGAGAAGTTTATGAGAGTGACCTTATATAATACGCCCACAGGTGCCTTTATGCCAGCAAACATAACTGGGGCTTTTGTGCAAAAGCACTTTGTACCCCAATTCACCCAAAAGAATAACTTCAACCATGGCCACTGCTGCATCTCAAGCAGGAGCTGCACCCTCTGGTACCATAACACACTGAGCAAGTGATCCCTTCTGGACAGCCCCTTGTAAGGACAACACCTGGTGCATACCCTTCCCTTCCACACCACAGCAGCTTTAGCAGGACACATACCAGCTCTGTGATGTTTCCTCACCTCTGCTTAACCTCCCAACTAGTTATCAAGGCTTGAACTTCCCACACAAGACAGAACCCATGCTTCCATTCATCTCTCAGTGATCCTAAAGAATTCTGACACTTATTTTTCTGTTTCCATTTCCATCAGTTAGGAACTGCCCCAGCTATCCATCTCCAACTTCCCTTTCAAAAGCAGAGCTCCATGCAGAATGAAACATTAGCATCTGCCAGGGAACAGGAGGGCAGGTCTGTACCTCTGCCTTCTACATCAAACAAGTATTTTGCTCAGCACTTCTGTAACAGGAGACACATCACCAGAGTTCAGAACACGGAGCAACCCAGAGGAAGGAAACGCTCATGAACTGATGGAGACATACATTTCAATATGGCAAGCAGAATGCAGCCCAGAAACTCCCCATGGTGTGTGATTTATGTGTTCTGTCTCCTAAACGTATATATGAAAGGTAGTATATAAAATAAAATACATCTCATGTTACAAGCTCACTACTTCAGCTGGACTAGCCAAGCATCCCTTCACCCTGACCAATGTGCTGATAGGTTATTCTGGCTTTTATTACCATTTAAAAGCCATGATAAACATATCTCAAATAAGCATTCTCCAAGCACATCTTGTTAGTTCGCTAACAGTGTGGACATGGGCTCAGTTTTCTGAGAAAATAAAGCTACCTCAAACTGAGCAAGCACAGCACAGCTGCCACATACTGCTGTACGCAATGAGCACGATGCACCTGCAATGCCGGATTATGGTTTTCCAAGCTGAGGTATAATTTAGTCTTTATTTAAGCCTCAAATGATAATTACAGTACACAATTTAACATGGAACATTCCTCGAGAGGAGTATTCTACCACCAGATGATTAAATTAACATGCAAAATGAAAAATTACCTTTCTAATTTCATCCAGCACGGTTTCAAATGATTTCTTATCCATCTTTATTAGTTCACTCAGTGCAGGTATTTGAATAGAGGGAAAAACAACCGCAAAAAATAAAGTTTAAAAAAAAAATCTAAATCAAAGCTTTCAACGAAAGCCTTTATGTGGACAGAAATAAGTAAGTTTAAAAAGAAAAAAAGGTTAAAATAAGCAGCGCAAGGCGATAGGATGGGTCCCTCAGCGCTGCGGGGGCAGACAAAGGCACCGCGCCGGGCGCTGCTCAACGCCCCACCACAACCCGCACCCGGCCTCCGCACGGCACAGGGCCGCTCGCAGCGCTGCGGGAGGAGGTGGGCAGGGCAGGGCAGGGCAGAACAGGGCAGCGAGGAGGCCGAGGCAGCGGCAGAAAGACGGCCGCAGGGATCACTCCCCTCAGCACGCGGCTCCGAGGCCCGCGCCCGCCCGCAGAGCGCTGCCAGCAGCCATAGCCGCGCCGCCTGCTGTGCTCCAGCGGCCGCAAAGGCTGAGCGCGGCCGAGCGTTTGGAAGCGGGACTCAGCAGCACAACAGACAGGAGCCGGGGCGAGGCGAAGAGAGAAGCAAGAAGCTCTACAGCCCGCACTGCCCGCTCCGCCGGCCCTGCGCCTGCGCTGGGCGCACAGCTATGACGTCACAGGGCAGCTCGAAGGCCCTTCCCCTTCTTGGTCGTCTGTAACAGTGCCTGAACGAAATCGTGGAGCTGAGAGCCAGTCTCGAAGCTTTTCCAGCCTCTGGGTGTCTCTTCAAAACGCTATGTTCTTCCATGGGGCTTCTTCGCTTTTTCTTCGCCCCACAGCCGCTCGGCGGAGAGCAAGGCACAGCTTCGGACAGCCCAATGTGCGGAGGTATTCCCCCCCTCAGCCCTTCAGGCCTGGGTGGGGCTGTCACGTGGCTGCCATGGCAACGCGGCCCGCCCTGCCGCCATGAGGCGGAAGCAAGCGGCGGAGCCGCGGCTGGTGATGGCTGGTGCCGTGCTGGCGCTGCTCGGCCTCCTCTGGGGCTCGCAGGTGGGGAGGGGCGGCTTTGGGCTCGGGGTTTGGCTGCCTTTCTTCAGCCGTATGTGGGGAGGAAGCTCTTATTTTTTTTCCTTTTTTCTTTTTTTTTTTTTTCTTTTCTTTTTTTTTTCGTTCTTTGTCCGCCTCCTGTTCGCGCCTTTCCCGCTCTAGGGCTGTTAGGTAGTAGTTTGTATTCACGGCTTTGCAGCTGTTGTGAGGTAAATGAGCAGCCGGGCGATGTTTTGTCAGGGAATGCCAAATGAACGCTGCTTTTAAGAGTGTGATTACTAATTGCGAAGTGACGGACCCTGCCTGCTCTCTTTGCTGTCAGGCTTCCTCCCTGCTCCGCTGTTTCGTTTATGACATTCCTCCCCTGTGCTGTTCCCAGCCCTGTTTGCTCAGGGTACCCCTGTTGTAGCCAAGCCGTTAACAGAAGAGCTGAAAGGTGTTGTCCCCAGCCGCTGCCACTTTGCTTCTTCATGACTCTGCCCTGGCCCTTCCGTGCCCGTGTGCAGATCTCTATCCCATGCTCACCCTCTTCTCCCACCCCTCACCTGCAAAAATGCAACCTAGAAGCAGCAGTCTTTTCTCTGTTATGTTTCAAAATGTATACACTGCATTGAGCCTTGCTGTTCCTACAGTCTTAAGCTTCCTCATTTCTAAGACGTTTTCCTTCTTCATGTGCACTTCTTCCCTGTTTTTGTTTGTTTTTGTTTTTCACATTCCACTTCCAGAGCTCCACAACGCAAATGGCTTTATTACCTCATTTGCAGTTCATCAGAGCCATAGCTGCAGACCAGCTTCTCTTTACCTTTCTAACCTGAGTAATTGAGATTGGATATTAGGAAAAACTTCTCAGAAAGAGCAGTGGAGCATTGGCATGGGCTGCCCAGGGAGGTGGTGGTCACCATTCCTGGAGGTATTCCAAGAACCGTGTGGATGTGGTACTGTGGGACGTGGTCAGTGGGCATGGTGGAGATGGGTCACCTGTTGGACTGGATGATCTCAAAGGGCTTTTCCAACCTAAACAATTCTGTGATTCAATGAAATCCACTTACGGTGCTTCAGTATAAGTTACTTTCTGTTGCTGATTCTTCTAATCTTCGTATTTGTTGATACTGGATGTAAGCAAACCCCACTGTTGTGGAATCTAACTGCTAACAGAGACATATTTTTGTATTTTCAGATGTTAAAAGCATTTGATTACTTCTCTTCTTGGAAGGGAGATGGAGAGCAACAGATGTACAAGTTGGACATAAGCTGGCCTAAAATTCCAGAGTACTTCAGTGGCCAAACATTTTGTGTTGCTGTTGATTCTCTTCACGGTTTGGTCTATGTGGGACAGGTGAGTGAAAATGCTAGATTTCTCTTCATGTTAATCTAGTGCATTTTTGCCTTCAAAATTTCTGCTTTACATTAAAGATTATTATGTTGTATACCTATGATAATTTTATTATTTTGTTATCCATTTATATGTCTGTATATATACTTTTCATATGTGCATTTTACATATACATAAGGAGTTATGATTACATATATCTGTAAATGTAAATATGCACGTATCATTTGTAGCTAGTGTAAAAGGATATTTACTTTTGTATATAGAATATTTTATATGTTTATATAAATGTGAGGCTAAAACATGTACATAGGTTGCTCCGAAAGTAATACCTCCTGCTTACTTCTGTAAAAAGAACAAGAGAAACAAAGGGCAGAATAACACTATTTGATAGAGCAAATTCAGAACACTGTTTCTCAACACAGTCACCACCATCAACAGTGATGAACAAGAGCCTGCATGCTATGCTTGAAAAAATCTGCACAGCACAGGTGACCACTATCACTGTCTCCACTGCTGAAATGCTCCACTCACTGCCTCACTGTGTTCACGTCCACTGTTTGGGCTCCATAAATGCTCAGCAAGAATCAATGAATGTCTGGGTGCCACTTCTTTTCTGCAAGGAATAATTCAGTGCTACACCTTTGCTTCAAATGCACTTCCATGTCAGACACCATTCTGTCAGACCACCCCTCTGCCACCATCTGCTGCACAGCAACAAAATGTAATGCAGTATGGATGGGAAGGTTCAACTGTCATGCCACCAACATCCTGTCTGCCTTCTGACATTGTAGGTCAACAGAATAAGACAGGAGGCATTACTTTTGAAGCATCCCGTGTACTTTCCAGTAATTTTAATATAATAGCTAAACCTGCAAAGTATATAAAATGATTATTGTATTAAAACTAGTGACTATATAAGGATATTGATCATTTTTTAAAGCAGCTCTGGGAGAATACTTTTGTGCTTTTTTGAAGTATGATTTTTTTTCTGGTATGAACACATGATCTAACTTAACTGAATCACAGTAACTTCTTTTCTAACTGCAGTGTAGAATGTAGTTCTGGTGTAGATGACTGGTCCCCTTCCAGCCTCTGTCCCATGAAATCAAAACCATATGGTTACAGTAATTGGAATTCAGTTACATGTGTTATCCTGTGCCATGTATTTGCATCTTTATTCGTGGCTAAGATGGTCCCTCTGGGACCATCTGAAAGGATTTAATTATGGAGCACAGCGTAATTCAGTACCATGCAGTTAACCAGTACAGTTAGTTTTTTGTGCCTGTATTATGCTTGCATTTTATTTGTGTATTTTTCATCAACCACTTAAAAACACAATTCAAAGTGCAGGTGCTTGGCTGCTCTGAAAAATTGATCTCAATGTGATTTAAGTTGGAGGTCTAGAATGATTGGCAGGTGTTAAATTTAGACCCTTCTCTCTTTCCTTTTCTAGCTGGAAAAAGTGATAACTCTCAGACAAGTGACCTTCATGATCCATGAAAGACTGCAAAAAAATAACGAAGAGGAATTTTCAAAAGTATCATTACTTGCTTAATTTGTTTTATTAATGGATTTTTGTTGCTTTTTCAGAGGGGAGATGATGTACCAAAGGTGCTTGTGTTCTCAGAGGAAGGCTATTTTCTTTACTCCTGGAATGATACAGTTGAAATGCCTCATGGTATCTTCGTATCGAACACTGCAACAGATAGTTCAGTATGGATCACAGATGTCGGATCAGGTAAGCACTGTGGAGATGCAGGAAATATTAAGCAGGGAAAAAATTGCAAGTTGTGTATAAATTAAACAGCCTTTTTATTTAAATAAGGCTTTCAGATAACTCTGAAACAAGTTGGTGTTTTTTCTTGCCTCGAACAAACTAGTCAGGTGCTGCATAAAATACTCTGAAGGTTCATGAATAGAGCTGTGTGTCTCTTTGTAGCTTCTTCCTTTAGCAAGCACTTTTTCTTCTTGGCAAAGGAGAAGAATCAGGGATAAAAATACCTTGTGGCTGTGAAGCTTGTCTTTACTTATAATTAGTGACCCTAGTATGATGGAGAAGTACTGCTATAGCCTGTGGATTCACTAACCCATAGTCATATTCTCACTGTGGAATTTTACTTGTTTTGATCTCACTTGCAATCATCAGGTTTTCTTTTTAATCTTCGTAATCAGTTGTAATACTTCTCATTTTGTTTCTTAAGATATTTTTGCACTTTTTTTTTTTTTTTTTTAATTATCTTCAGGGAAATATGGGCACACTGTGAAACAGTACAGCCCTTCTGGTAAACTTCTGCAGGTGTTGGGCACGCCAGGTAACGCTGGTTCAAGTTTGAATCCCCTACAATTTGATCAGCCAGCAGAGGTCTTTGTAGAGGAGAGTGGAGAGATGTATGTTGTGGATGGAGATGGAGGAATGAATAACAGACTGCTCAAACTTTCCGAAGGTATGGAAAAATACTCTAAAAAACTAATATTCTAATTATTGATGACAAGAAGCTGAGGGAGTTTATTTGTTCACACTTCAGGGACAAAGGCTAAGGTGGGTTTTTATCCCTGTCTGCAGGGTACTGATGGGAGGGTATAGAGAAGGGTTTGCACGTTTCTTGGATGTTCTCTATGAAGAATGAGAAGCAACGAACAAAAATTGCAAAATGAGGGAATTCCAGTTTGATCTTGGGAGAGAAAGATTCATGATGGTGGTGATCAGTCAGTGAGTAGTTTGTCCAGAGAACCTTTGCATTCTCAACCTGTGGAGATACTGAGAATTTGATATCACCAACCTGATCTAATTCCAGGTTTTGATTTGTTACCAGGACCGGTTCTACTTTTAGAGCCAGGTTGAGCCAGATGGAGGTGCTTTTATTCTGTGATTCTAATTAACTTACTCATACTCTCCAGCAGATGATCAGTGCTGGTTAGGGCGATGAGTCGGGAGCCTGTGCCTGTCTGCAGCTGGGGAAAGATT